AGCATTTAGCAATCAATATAAAATAAATTAAAACACAGACAAAAATTCGTACTTCCAGTAAATAAAAAAACAAATTTTTCTAAAATAATTGTAGCGAGCCAAATATTTGAGAATTAAAACAAAATCAATAACTTCAATCGAAAATTCGGTTTTTTTTTTACGTAAACATTCTTTCCTTGAGTGAACACAATTATTTTGTTAACCGTTGAATTCTGTACTATCGTCACTAATCTACTCACAAGCAAATTAGAATTTTTAAAAAGAAAAAAAATCGCAATTATATCACAAATGCACGCACGGGACATATTCATATCATTCACATCTCTCCCACTCGAGAGATATGTCAACGAGTCTGGAGAAAGCCCGGTCGAGTGCCACGGACACCAAGGGTGAGTGTGGGTGTGGGTTTGGGCTTTAGTATGGGTGATAATCTTATCTACATTAGCATCCACGCCCAGCCACATCCACACGCCACCATTTTTTTTCAAATTATTATCATGTTTATTCGATATTCTGATAAAAGTGAATGACAATAGTTGATCGTCAAACGTTGTAAACGATTTTTAGATAGGGTAGAGCTTGATCATAGCGATAAACGATGTATTCAGTCATTGCTGCATGTTTGCCAATCACCGAATGAAATCCATGCGGGGCTGAGACCAATGTATTGTCCGTAGCAGTTAAGATTGCTGGTTTGTCCAAGAGGACTTTGTTGTAAAATATCACACGTGTGTTATCCACTGTATTCACTTCGGTATAATCGTTCAATGTCTTTGGATCGTCAGCAAAATAGGCACTATGACCTAAATGACAAATTAATGCGAGTGTTCAAGTGTAGATATTTCACTTACCATACAAACCGTCTTTATTAAAATATCGATCATCATATCCGTCTTCTGTGATACCTTGGCTTTCAACATTTTTCGTGCCATAAAATAATTCCCGTTCGTTTGGATTTTGATTTGGACATTGTTTGGTGATAAGTTTCTTCATACCTTCATAGGTTTCTTCCAGATATGGATTTCGAATTTCTTCAATTGAGACAATTTGAACCGAAGGAATACTTTTCATCTTAGCTGAAACGTCGGTATAGAGAGTAGCACTCGATGGTAATGGCACTAAAATGCCATAATATTTGTAATGTGGATCAGGTATGACCGATATAATGAGCCCATCTTGTGTCCACCCACGTTGTTGCATTTTATCGATACATTGTTTAACAAATTGATCCACAGGACGAAGAACTTGAGGATGTAGGGTGTGGGTGTGGATGTGAGTGTTCTCTCTACTAGTACCTACACCCGCAGAACCGATTCATTGATAATTACATAGAAAAATTCATTAAAAATATTTTATCCTTATTCAGGATGATCATTTGTTTGCAAACATCTATTGATATCTCTTATGATCATCAACTATACAAGTTAATTTTCCATAAAGCCGATGAAGAATTGCGAATTGGTTGAACTCTCAATCACAAGTAAAAATTTCAAAGATTTTAATACAATTTTGGTCAAGTTCATCTAATAAGAAATCTGTTTTTCGTGCGGACCCGATCAGACACAAATTTTGAAAAACGCGTTTAAGCGCTCAATCGAGAACCACGATTGTAAGCCATTAACGTTCATTGACGTTTTCTGTAACTTTCTGGGCGTCAAAACGGCAAAAATTCCAGCTTTTGAGCGTTAAAACGCATTATTATTCTAGAACTTAAAAACAATACGTTTTAAAGTTCAAAAACTGGACTTTTCGCCGTTTTAACGCCCAGAAAGTTACAAAAAACGCCAATAAACGCATCTCCGTGCGTTTTTTTAAAATGAGTGTGAATGGATCACAGTCGCGGTTCCCAATTGTGTGTTTAAACGCGTTTTTCAAAATTTTTGTTTGACTGGGGAATCACGATTTCCCAGCACCATAAGCAAAGGGATATAAAAATGGTATGTGTAATAAGGATTTTTGTGGTACCCTCAGTAAGAGAGACATGTGTGTGTATATGTATAGTGATCCGAAATCTTGAAAAGTCTTCAAAAAATTTCTTCCAAAAGACTAAAATCGTTTCAAAATAGGTTTTAACAATCGGAAAATATGTTCCGACGAATTGTTTCAACCTAAAGACCAAAAATAACTGTGAAAAGAAAGTCGTGTAAATTGATATATTTTACTCGAATTTTTCGAGATTTCACATAAGTATTATCCATTTTTGAAAATAAGTCGCTTAGACAGAGTTCTTATAACTTTTGAAAGGAAAGTGATAGGAACCTGAGGTTTTCACCGCTGCATAGAGGACATCAAGACACGTAAGTTTATGTAAAAACCAATGAATCAATTGATAAAAATACTCGTTATCTGAGTATTCAAATTTGGCTGAAAATTGCATAAAATATACCTATTTTTGATATTTGACCTCAATATGAAACTGATTCGAACATCAGATATATAGTAGATTGTGTCTCTGCATTATTTGAACTCAACAGAATAAAATGTTGAAGTTGTCCTTTTTGAAAGAGAAGAGTTCTCTGTGAGAAAAACGAAATTGCAAGTTTCTAAATTTGAGGCTTATTTTAGCAGTTTTCGACAAATTTATTAAAAAGTTATAAACATATACCTTGTATAATGGATTTGTTTTTACATAGTCTTACGTGTCCTGATGTCCTCTATCCAATGTTGGAAACCCCAGGTCCCTATCGTTTTCCTTTCAAAAGTTATAAGAATTATGCCCAAGCGATTTATTTTCAAAAATGAATAATAGTTTTAAAAAAATATGTTTTTATAGTGATACTATGTTTGAAATACGGGTGGAAACTATTTTTTTTCCGGCAGTATATATCTGTTTTTCAACAATGAAGTGACTTATTCAATTAAGTTTGAAACATGTAATTCAATGAATATAAAAATTATTGAAAATATTACTAATGACTAAACTTTAATTTTTGAACTTGAACAGTTTGATAATCTTCTTGTTCGTATGAAAAGTTAGTTTATTCAAGCTATAACGGGGGTCCGGAGCTTCGCCAATAAGACTTTCGCCAATAATTGGCGAAAATCCAGAGGGTATACTGGCGAAAGTCCACTGAACTTTCGCCAATTGGCGAATTTCCAAGGGATATATTGGCGAAAGTCCACTGAACTGTCGCCAATTGACGAATTTTCAGGGGGCGAATTGGCGAAAGTCGAATAGATTTTCATTAATGAAGGTGAAATATCCATATCGTAAGTATTGTACAACCCATATGATAAAAATTGGATGAAAACCGGCGGTTAACCGCGGTTTTACCAGTCTGGTTAGCGCCTCCCGTCGCTAAGATTTACCGTGGTAAACCGCCGGTTTTATGGATACTGCGGTTTACCACTAAAATGAACCGGTTTACCGGATCATCAATAAACTTTGACATTTCATTGCTTTAAATCATCGATTTTGCTATTTTAAACGTTTTTTTCTTCTATCTTCCCATGTCATAAAAATGCTCAGAAAAATCTCCGGTTTACCGCGGTTTTACCGGCTCCCATCACTGTAATTTACCGCGGTTTACCGCTAAAAGCTGTCCAGTATTTACGATATGGGAAGAACTACCCCTAGCATTATAAAAATGTACCTCAAGTTATACAGTTATAAATACAGTTGATCAATCTCTCTAACCAACGTTACTCTTATACCTAAATTCAAGAAAGTTCATCGAAAATTCGCCAATTGGCGAAAGTATAGGGAGTATGTTGGCGAAAGTACAAGGGGTATATTGGCGAAAGTTTACTGGACGTTCGCCAATGTCGAAAGTCCAGTTTGCGAAATTCCTATTGGCGAACGTCCGGTAACCCGCTATAACAGTGGTGAAAGTTTTCTTCTATCAGTGAAAGTGACACCGCTTCATTTTGCGCATTATCAAAGTTAGCACTAGAATGACTCAATCCGATGACGTAGTCGTAATATTTTGCTGATAAGCATGTGCATGCATTACTTCAACTAATTCTCCTTCTGTCGTTTATGCAACGGTGTGGTTCGTATATTCACGAACTTGCCACGTTTTATAATTAAAAAATGCGTTCGCATCTTGAATTATTTTCAACGGAAATTTTCTTTGAAATTTTTGACTATTTGTCTTCTGTCGATCTTTTTCGAGCCTTCATTGGTCTGAATCGTCACCTGCATACAATCCTCAATCAGTATCCACTTCGACTAAACTTACAAGAGATTTTTCGATCGGATTTTGATTTTCTTTGTCATCATATTCAACCTAAACAAGTTATTTCAATTGTTCTTTCCGAAGAAACAATACCTGACCAAGTTAAAATTTTTCTCAAATATTTTCCACACTTCGAAAATCAATTTACTTGTCTTCAATCGATAAACTTTATCAAAACGGGAAATTGTATATCGCAGTTGCCACAATGCGTTTCTTCTCTGTCGTTCAAAAAGTGTTTGGGCAAGTTATGGCGCGAAAATAAGATTGGTGATATACTGATCCAGCAAGCCAAAGTCTTAACTCATTTGAGTATTCAAGATGAGAGATTGATTGCATCAATCAATATTGAATTGCCTCTATTAAAACGGTTAACAATCGACTCGTTTTGCTTGATTGATCGTCTTTATCAGATCATTCAATGTTTTAAAGCTTCAATCATAAGTTTGAAAGTCTCTCTTCGAAACGAGAATGATCATTATTTTCCATCAAAATTAGAGAAACTCTGTCGAAGTTTAATGTATCTCAAGCATCTCAATATCACATTTCATCCCGGTAAAATGAATTTTGTGTGTGAAAGATGTTATTATCTGTTCTATTGTAGGAATTGAAATATCATTTAATTTACTCGAGCAAAGTCTGAATAATCTACCACTATTGACACATTTAACGATCGAAGCAACCGGTACACTCGATCTACTTGATGGTGTTCATTGGGAAAAATATCTGAGGAGACGAAGGTTAATCAAATTCAATTTTAAATTTAGTCTTTCACTAAATCTTGTTTGTAATCAAGATCGATTTTCATTACTTGAACCATTTCGTTCATCGTTTTGGCTCGAGGAAAAACATTGGTATGTTGCCTGTTACAAAAATGAATGGGGTAACAAATGTCCATTAATTTTTTCTGTGCCTTACGTTGTACCACATTCATTTGCATATCTAACAACACTCTATCCACCATTGTCGACAGCACCATCTAATGTGGAAAAACAGTTATTCTATGATACCAATATTAATCATCTTGAGTGTTATTTTCCACGCGAGGACCGTCGACAAACTTATACTTTTACTAAAGTTAACTCATTACGTCTTATTTGGCACTGTTTGCCACTCAACTTGAACAGTTTGACATCCACCGTTGATTTTGTTCGAGTGCGAATTCTCGATATTTCCTCTGTTGATCACATATCAACATGTGAACTACGTGATCTACTCGAACATACTCCTCGCTTATATCATCTGACGATGAGACAACAGAATCAATCATTGATTTTACCACCACATATTCGTTCTCTTCATTTAAAAAGAAGCTTATCCAATACTGGCATCAATTTTGAAAATCTCGATCAACTCCGCTCTGAATTATCACATATTGTACAACTGGAAATTAAAGTACAAACACAAGAGTTAATGATCGAAATTATTGAACGATTTGATCAACTTGAAAGTATCATATTTCAATGGAGTGGCTACTTGTCAGAAGAGTACACCTCTTCCCAATGGTTTCAACAAAATACACGACGTCTTCATCAAAACCATTTCACATGTCGGAGAGAACTGGAACGTGAACGAGGTCAACCTCGACGGCAGATTGGATGCGGTTACGTACCTCAGAAGATATTCATCTATTTGTCGATATCAAAACATGACCTGAAACAAACAGCATTAGAGAACGATCGATCTTCTTTTCACACGTTACTAACAATTTTCCAGCGCGGATGGAACAACTTGTTCCACTGAAATTAGAAAAAAAATGACTATTTTTCTATTAATAATTGCTCAGTTTTTTTTAAGCTGAAAGCAAGGTTTTTTCAAGCTCGAACAAACATATGCATTGAATAAATGATATTGCAGTTTTCGCATCGAGAATTAAAATCTAAATCAATGTTTTTTACTTTCGACATCTAACTTAATATTTTGCACAGTTCAAATGTTTTGCTATAATTCAATGCAATAAAAACATTATTCAGTATCTTATTTTACAAAATTAGATTCCGAACACATTGAAACGCCTAAAACTGATTCTTGCAGTGATTGTTTAAATTCTTTTTTGAGCATCATGTCGGTTAACCGAATGTATACTTGAGATCAAGTCAAATCATGCTTATTTTCGCTCGATGTATCGCTTTTCAACACTGGATGTAACATGTCACCTTATCATATATTCAATACAAAATATTATGCTCACAATCCTGTGCGTGTTCACAGAGCACTGGCGTCTCGAAGTGCTGTTTTCTGTTGTTTGAAACCTGCTTCTGAGACCGATTTTTTCTGCTGCAAAATGATCGATCTGAACTTCGATAGCGCAAGGGTTTAATTTTAAAATCAAAATTCATAAATCATCATTGAAGGTAACATGCACTTACAGTAGTAGACAAAAGTCCCGACTCTAGACAAAAACCATCTAAATAAGGGCTGTTTGCTTTGAAACTTGTACCAAAGCAAGAACTTGGTCAATCTTGATCTCAGCGGAAAGTTCGAGTCCTGTCCCCTTAACTGAGGCTGAGATATCAGATCAATACCAAGGAGGGTGTGGGTGTGTGGGCGTTTGTGGGTGTGGATGTGTGGATACGAGGTGGAAAACACCCACACTCGCGCCCACCCACACCCCACACCCACCCTCCTTGACTTAATGGATTTGATCAATCCTTAATACTAAAAATCCAACTTAAATGTTTCGTTTCTTAATAAAGAACAAACTTCTCGAACATAATTCCTCCATTTGGTTGTCCAATAGCAAATACATATGGATATCCCTGTCACCCTCACCCTATGCTCAACACTATAAAAATTTCATTTAATTA